TAGGGTTTAGGGCTAAGGGCTAAACCCAGAGCAAACCATAAACTGCCAATCCTCTTCACAAGCATGACATATGTGGTAGATTTCCTACAAAAGGGGGCCTAATATAGATCCCAAATGACGAGAGTCCTTAATGTAGGGACCCCTCTCCCCCCACAACAAAAAAGTACACCTAATTTGGCAAAATGCACATGTATACAGATAGACATCTGTATCTACATGCTGTATGTACATATGCACATCATACCAGTGCGGGATACCTATCATATCATGTTAGCCTACCTAAGCCCTAAACCCGAAACCCTGAACCCTAAAATTTCCTCGAACATGCCCCTTTACGACCAATACTTTCCAACTGTCATGCAGGTGGAAAAAGAGGCCGCACAAAAACACAAAAACTAAACCCTAAGCCCTGAACCCTGAACCCCAGACCCCACATGAAACCGCAGGAGCTGCCCTTCGAGCTTGTGTTCGAAGATCTCAGACCTCAGGCCCTACTGGCAGGAAGTTTGTGAACATGAGCCATAGTCTGAACTCCTTGAAAGGAGGATTTTACAGGGGATTATATAGGGTTTAGGGTCTGAACTCCTGAAAGGGGATTATGTAAGGTTTAGGGTTTAGGGTCGTAACTCCTTAAAGTTGGTTTATATACACGGGATTATATAGGGGACTACTGCAGGGTTTACTAGGGGCAGATAAAAGAAGTTCAGACTGCAGCTTATATGAGGGGGTCCCTTCAAAAGGGCTTTAGAAGGATAAGTAGATGTTTATATACAGAAAGTGTCGCCGTTAGGGCCCCCTTTCAGGGGTTCAGGAAGATCCTAATTCCATGCCCTAAACCCTAGGGTTAAGAGATCACGATGCTGTTGCTCTAGGTTCTAGATCGCTCAGATTTATCTACATCAATAGATAGAGATGTATGTACATATACATACACACACACGCATTTAGAAATTCATCTGTATACAAAGATCTACATGTAGGGTCCAGGGACTGGAGGTTTAGGGTTTGGGCTTTTGGGTTCAGGCTTGAGGAACCTGAGTTTCTCAACAAGAGGGGCTTCTAGATGTATGGACACGGAGAGGGGATTCTGACGATTTTTTCCATAACTCATTGGGAGTATGTTGAGTACTATTGCGGCGAGTTTGTCCTAAACCCTTGCGAACAGGTGAGTCCCATGGCTG